TGACTCCTTAAAGTGACTTACAGGAGTATTTTCTTTTTACCTTTGTAATGGCATCATTTTCATCTGTCAAATTTAAAAATGTATGTTTATAAGCTTTTTAAAATTTCTATTTAAAACAATATAATAAGTAGAATAAGACAAATAAGTTACCAATCATGTCAAATTTAAAAATGTTTATAAGCCTTTTAAAATTTATATTTAAAACAATATAATAAGCAGAATAAGACATAAGTTACCAATCATATGAAATTAGTATTAATAAATTAATTTGTACTACAGAGGTGGCACAGAAGAACACAAAAGTGGCTTGTAGGTACATTTTCAGACATTTACTGAGGCTGGCATGGGTGCAATTAAATTCATACATTCATGTGGAGATTGTTTTAAATACAAAATTTTGAATACAGAAATTAAATGATTTAAATAACTGAAATTATACGCTAAAAATGAAACTAAATCCACCAGCACCACCAGCAGGTGGCGGTAAGTCACTGATTTTATCACTGAATCATTCATTCAATTGATTCGTTTGAACAGCTGATTCATTCAGAAATGAAATCTTTATGTATGGGTAATTATGAATCACTGACTCACTAGATTCGTTCAAAAACACGCTTTCATTCATGAATGAAACTCGACTGTTTGCTTTTAGAAATGCGTAGCGGCTCAGCTGTTAACTATATTTGGAACTATTTTCGTTGATGCAATATATACAATAAGAACGTTTGCGGGAGCGTGACACACGTTGCGGGAGCGGGCGGTAATGGTCAGAAATTCAGGGGGAGTGGGCTTAAGAAAACTGTCCCGCTCGGGGCTCTAGGCTGGGCGTCAACGTTTTTTTTTTTTCGCCCTCCCCCATCTCCACCCCCAATCATTAGTGCCGCTTGTTCGGTCTTTGACAGAACATAGGACAATTTTTTTTAAATAGCGCCATAAACAATTTCAAATTTAATTCAAGCACTTTCAGGGACCTGTTTGTTTTCCAATTACTTTCCAGGCCTTGAATCCATGTCTGAAATTCAAGTACTTTCAAGAAGTGTGGGAACCCCGAGTTTGAAAACCCCTCATTCAAATAACCCTGCTGAACTGGATTAGCTAGTAGTTTAGGGTTGGAGTTAAACTCTGCAGGAAGGTGGCCCCTTCCAGGGCAGGACCTTCAACATGATTGTCTGATTAAAACCAGCCATTTAAAAAAAAAATAAAAAAATTATATATAAACTTAAAAGTTTAACAGGGTTCTCACTTTACTTTTTTGTTTAGCCAATTACACATTTTTGATTAAGCACAACGTTAAACGTACAACAAACTATTAGCTTTGACCATTTTCAATGACTTGTGGGAACAGGAACAGCATTTTCCAAATCAAGTAATCTGAAACCAACAGCAAGCTTCATGGGTTTCAAAATCTCATTTAATGCCAATGGTAGTCAATCTATTAGAAAAAACAGGGTTAAAGCTATACATTTACACGAGCTACCAGCATTTGTTTTGTCATGAATCTCTTAAACATTAAACAGCATTTGCAGGAAGGCAGAAGCTCGTCCACAGGCCACGCTCACGTCACCAGATTCCACTCTGAAAGAAGAAAAAAGGTTACAACGCAGGTCACATTTAATAGCTTTTTTGATTCCACTTCAACAGCGCTTCTCAGATTCTGCCATGTCAGGAGCAAAACTGCACTAAGTCTTCACATGAGTTCAGAGCCCAGTGCTACCACATCACAGAAGCATTTTACAAACCATAGATTATAAAGCGATTAACGTTAGGCTGTATCTCACCTGAAAGCAGCAGTGACAAGACCTGTAGACTTTACACTCGGTCTTCTGCAAAAGAAAAAGCAGATGTCCACAGATAAGCGGTGTTGCCAATTTAGCGACTTTGTCGCTAGATTTAGCTACTTTTCAGACCCCCTGGCGACTTTTCCAAAAAAGCGACTACCGACAAATCTAGCGACTTCTTGGACAAACCTTAGCGAGTCTGTGATCGCTGGTACTGACGCACCGTCGCGAGGTCAGCGTGCACACAGCTCTCTCTCTGCGTCTGCTGTTCAGCGAGCGGCTGAGATGAGCAGCGCCTTCAGTTAAAATAGATGTTGCTTCTCTAATTTTAGAGGCAAATAACTGTGGGTACATCTACGCGCGCCACGTGGTGACGGTAACGCCGACTAGAAACTTAACCAAATAAAACGCATTAACCTACAATAGTCTTATGTTAATGACTACTACGACATAAATCCCTGATAAAACAATAAATACGTTTAACAATGAAGGAAGAGAGGGGGAAAGCACTTACCCACACACGCTGCACCAGTTTCTACCACGGCAGAGTGAGGGCTCTTCCACCCCCAGTGTGGCGGTTTTATATCCTCAGTAGGACCTGCCTGTAGGCGTCCGTTAATAGCGCCTTTACAAAATTCAATCAGACAAGATGCCGTTTAAAAGTGATATTTATTTTTGTTGTTAGAGTTTTTTTTTTTATTATCATTATTAATTGAATTCACGTTTTTTCCCCTAAATTGTACCCGCTGAAGTTGGAATAGTATACTTTATATTACAAGTTTGAGATTAAACAATTTTTATTGGCTCATCAAAAGTTGTATATTTTTAAAGCTGTATTTGGTTGTATACTCGGACAGGTTTTGGACCTTTAAAAGCAAGAATCATATCACTGGATCAACAGATACTATACAGGCTTTTGAGATATTTCTATACTTTATTTGACTTTTTACTTTATTCTATATTTATTTTTTGTATTGTTTTCTAGCAGCTAATGTAATACAGTAAATATGTAAAATATTGTAAATAGATAAATAGGTTATTATTATGTGATTCTGTGGAGAGGGGCGAGGGTGGGATGTTTGACCCCTGATACACATTGGCTTTTAAGAATAGCACAGAGATAGAACAGAGAGGGTTCATTATTTTAATTCTCAAAATGCTATTACTAATGCTGAGATTATAAAAATATAATTGAACCATGCAGAGATAATTGGGATGGGCTCTTGTCAGTGTGTACAACAGCTGCTATATTTGTAATACTGAGTCACAGACCTTTGTTCTCACACAATCTGAGGGTCTTCTCTCATCTCCCCTCCCTAAGAACCACTGGATGTGCCAGCGCCAGGCAGCTGTTGCGTGGACCTCCTGAGACCATGGGAACTGTGAGAGTAAGCACTTATGAGGTAGGTAAATTGTGACAGAAATAAATGTAATAAATGTAGTTGTTACAAAAGACAAAAATTCACAGAAGATGAAATCTGTAACACTTTACAATAAGGTTTAATTTGTAAACATTAGTTAACCACATTAGATAACACGGTATGAATGAACAATATTCAACTATATAAACTAATTGTCTGGACTGAACTCACTTCATTAGCCTACCACTTTACTGTGAGGAGCAACTCTGTGCTTAAATCAGAGGGAGAGGGAGAAAGAGAGAGAGAGATGGAGAGGGAGGAGTGTTGTCATGTAGTATGATCCACAGAGCGAAAAGTCTGGTCGCCCACAGCTGCTTCGGAAAGAAGGGGAATCTAGAGAGAGGGAGGAGAGGAGCGGAGAGGAGAGAAAGAAAGTGACAGGAAGCCACCTCATTAAACACTGACAGCGGGTCAAAGACAGAGAAGAGAAGAAAGAGTGTGTCCAGAACACACCATAACCATATGGTGATCTTAAAAGTGGAAAAGCCAGCAGAAAAGAGGTGATCTGTTACTTCAGAAAAGGAAAGTGTAAACTAAAAGGAAACTTTCCCTGAAAAAGTTAGAGGTGAGTCTGTTGTCTCTTTTCTCTCTGTCCTTCTGTTATTTATTATGTGTTTGTGTCAAGTTAGATCACATTGAATTGATGAGTTCTGCAGAATTCATATACTATTTCTGTCTGATGCATTCATAAGTTGCCATATATTTCTTCAGTGTGTGGGTGTGTGTTGAGTGACACTCAAAACGGGGACAGGGGGAGGAGAGAAAAAGAGAGCCAGGGTGGGTGAGGGGTATGGGGGTTTGAGGGGCTTTGAAAAGGGGGAGAAAAGAGGTAGATTCACAGCAACGTCATGATGATATTTTCAGAGAAATGGGTCATTCCCTCCTCTCCAGTTACAGGACCTTTCAAAACGTTCAAATAGTTTTTGATCTCCATTTTGAATGTACTTCTGTCTTCTTCAAAATTCAGTTCTTTATAACTTGCTGTTTTAGATGGGGTTTTTTCTTAGACGTTTTAGAGTACCTCAACAATTCAATCTATTAACAATTTATCCCCAGGTAGTGATCATTTAATTCAGTCAAGCAGATGTGTTCATCCTTTTATTTAATTGTACATACATTTGCGTGAGGGTCCAGTGTGATCCACGGGGGCAGTCATGGCCTAATGGATAGAGAGTCGGACTTGTAACCCGAAGGTCGTGGGTTCGAGTCTCAGGTCCGGCAGGAATTGTTGGTGGGGGGAGTGAAAAACCGGCGTTCTCTCCACCTTCAATACCATGACTGAGGTGAGACCCTCGAGCAAGGCACCGTACCCCCAACGGCTCCCCGGGCGCCACAGCATTGGCTGCCCACTGCTCCGGGTGTGTGTTCGCTGTATGTGTGTGTGTTTGTTCACTACTCACTGCTGTGTGTGTGTGCACTTGGATGGGTTAAATGCAGAGCACAAATTCCGAGTATGGGTCACCATACTTGGCCACACGTCACTTCACTTTCAGAGATGGGCTATGAAAATTAAACCCTTCTGGAGACTGTTAGGTTAACCTCACACAAAAGGCTGAATGCAAACAGGCAACAGTGGAAAAAATGAAAACACTGTTATCACATAGTCACCCTCATGTTGCTTTAAACCCACATAACTTTGTCTTCTTTGGAACAAAAAAGGAGAACTTTTGATGAATGTAGTTGATTTTTCCCCCCATGCAGTTGTGAATGCAGACGAAATTGTGTAATCTTCTAAACTGATGTAAAAGCATCATAAAAGTATAGAAAATTGGCTTGTGCAATACATTTTCTATGTGTCTTCTGAATTCATGTTTTGAGTGAAAAACAGACTGAAATTTAAATATTAATTTACTGAAAATCTTCCCATTTAGTATTCACCCTATCTATTTTCTAAACGCATCGTATTGAACGATTTATCCATGGATGTTTAATTTTTTATTATTTATTTATTTGCAAATTTTTAATTGCAATGTCATATCTGAATCTTTCGGGGAAATGACAGATTTCTCTCTGGTGAAATATGTCGGATTTCTCCAGTCGCTAAGTCTGCATAAAACCCGCCTTTTTCTTACAGTTGACCAAAAACCTGTATTTACATCTGCCTTTATTCAATTAACAAACAATGGATAGAACCAAGTCCTATATATTTTTTCTTTTTTCATAATCTGTTCCACTCTGATGTATGTCACAATATGGAAGAAAAGACCTGTTATTTCTTCCATTACATATCAACTTTAAGAACTGAATCAGTCTGATTTATGAACGATTTATTCAGATGTTTTTTTTTTAAATAACTAAATTTAATTCCAAAGATCTAACTTAAAGTAATGTACATGTCAGTCTGTTCCTCACATAAAGCTACAGAAGACTTGGAATATAGTGTATGAATCATATGAATCACTTTTATGATTCTTTTATGATGCTTTTGCCTCCTTTTGGAAGGCATTCTCTGTTCAACAAACCACATTTTTCAAAACATTTTGTCTTTCACAAAACAAAATCAAATAGATTTAGAATAACAAAAGGATAAGAAATTAAAGACAGAATTTTCATTTTTGGGTGAACTGTCCCTTTAAGCTCGTCCCTGCTCATATTCTCTGAGAGCACAAGACTGTCTGGAGGGAGAGGAACAGGGGGGAACAGGAAGTGAGGTTAAAGTTCAAATATAAAGTGATTTACTCTACCCATGACCCCTGCAATGGGAAAAGGCGATAGGAAGAGACAGTGTGGGATAATGCACTGAGGCTGCATGGACCCTCTAAGAGAGAGAGAGAGAGAGAGTAGAAAAGACAAATAACAGCTTGTTCATGCACTTCCCTTCTGTCATCTTGTTCTCTCTCCATGTCTTGTGACAAAATGTGGTTTATTGCATGTATAGAAACAAATGTGCTGTCAATGGCGTGTGTTTCTGGTATGTGTGTGTTCAGGGCAGCTCAAACATGTTCCTGTGTGGGCCACATGGGCTTGTATTTGCAAGCATTTGTGTCAAAGAGCTCATGAACGTGTGGTTTAAGAAGAGAAGTGTATTTGTGTGTGTCTTTGAGTATGTGTTTGTGTTGGTGAACTTTCACCCCTGTTTATTTTGGGATGGCTCAAATGTCAAAGCCCAGAGCTCTGGATCAAGGCAGATAGCAGTGGAGAGTATTAAGCACTATCTGTCTGACTGTAACCCACTTCAACACTTACATCTGCTTTGAGCCATTTCATTTTTTACACTTTAACTAGTCAGCAACACATTTTTCATCCAGAAAGCTCTTTTATCCTCTGTAAACAAACTTGAATATAACTACCCTCCTTTCTTCAAGAACTAGACTTCAAAACCATTAAACTTGTTTGTTGGAGCCATGCACTTCCCGACGCAGTTCGTAAACTGTAGTTTAAATAGAAGAAAGCTTGTAAAACACAAGGCCCTCCCTGCATGCTATTAGACACAGTAGGCTATGCGATTCAGCTCTGTCACACATATCTGACTATTGTCTGCCTGTTAAGACAAGCTAGAAATAAATTCCAGCCATTTGTCCCTCTGGAATGTCGAATGGAGAGTACTAGCCCAACTACTGACCTCTATTTCTCACAGCTAAACGAAGAAAAAAACTACTAGTAATTTTGTTCTAAAGATGCATCAGTAACTGTTTTTGTTTGTTGTGCTATTTGATTCACCAGGCATTTTGGACTTATACTGACACCTAGTGGTGTGGATGCAGAATCAAGCAAAAACAAATGTTTTTGTTTATTCGATGCCACTGTAGACATTTGATATTCATTAGTCAGCAAGGATAAATTTAATCCACAAATGAAAGTATCCAATAACAGGGGTTTACTGAGGTGAAGTGAGTAGCATTCAGCTTGTCATGTGATCTCAACATGGCGGCTTCCACGAGGCGACCTGCCCTATGTAGCATAAAACACTGTGGTCATCTCATGTGAATATAGTTGATTTTAAACGTTTTTCAAAGGTACTATTAGCTACTTTTTCTGTAAAACTGTTTCAATGAGGAAAATTTGTACACCTTTAATGCCTTAAAATGTTGTTTATCATATCTCTATACCAGACTCCATCATGTCAACACTCTCGGCAGAGACAGGCCCTGAGGATGCCAACAATCAGAGCTTCTGGATGGTAAGTGAGAGGGGGAGGAAGAACAGCAATGACTCAGACAGGGTGATGAACCTCTAGAAAATACCATCCGCTTCTGCTTTATGTATGTGTTAGCAGACATGCACGATGTAGCTTGACTTGGTTTTAACTAGGGATGCAACGATACCACTTTTTCCAGTACTCGCCCGATACAGTATTAGAGCTGCTCCATTGCAGCGGCTCAGTACTGTAATCACACGCTTTGCTGTAATAATGCAGGGAATCAAATCTCCTAACTGATATTTTCAGAAATAGAAGTTGCGTTTTTTCATCTGAAACGTGCTGCGATTTATATTCCAAAGCAACTCATATAATGCAGAAACACTCAAGCAAGCAAAACACGCGCAACGCCTGCAGATATTTGTACAATATTGTATTTGTAGAACAGTACAGCCCAGCGCATTTCACACAGGCTGCTAGATTCACTTTCTCCAGAAACCCTACCGTTAAGTAACTTGTGCATTGTTTTACTTACTTGTTTTTGACATATCCGACCGAACTACAAGCTTTCCAGTGCTGTCTGTGAGAAAGATATATTCACTCGACAAGCTTTGTTTATCAGCTCGCGCACATCAGCTATACAGGCGTTAATACTGAAAGTTTAACATTATATTCATTGCATACATATACTTCGTAGACATCCTTAATCTCTTATAACTCCATTCTGCTGTCTGTTGTTCTGTTGTCGGTGTTTCTTTGTCTGAATATGGCACTGATCACATGCTGTGTGGTATCGGCGTTTGTTCGTACAGCGTACAGAAGCTCAGTATCGGGCCCATGCATCCCTAGTTTTAACACCTAAACAGTTGGAGCAACAACAGATGACAAGATGTGTTTGGACATTAAAGTGGAATGCTTCACAAAAGCTTCTGAACACTCTACATTAACCAAATGAAGATTAATATTCAAGTGAAGTCTATTTTACTTCTTTGAGACTACTGCAGCATGTTTTATGGTTCTTTAAAGTTTAATCTCAGTCTGTAAATTTCATCCATTGTGCCGCCACCCATTTTAATTAGCTCAGCTTTTGTCTCTCAGCTCCCCAATCGGTTTGCTTTTCTGCTCTCCAGTGCTGCTGGGGATCATGCAGAACCTTGCCTTTTAATACCTTTATAAATGTTTGAAAATAGTACTCAGTAATACTCACAGTATTTTTTAGACTGTAGCAATTCTGTAGTATTTTCACATTTGGCATGTTCAGAAGTCTTTCTGTCTTAACCTTAAAACGCCCTATGGATAAAAATTATGTGTATTTGCTCATGTTTCAAATTTTTAACATTTAGTTTTCTGTTTTATATTAGGCAAACTATTCCTAATAGGTTCTTATGATACTAATAATGGTAATTATGTGATGATACTGTATATATAATTACATATAGGCACTATTAACTGTCATGTTCATGTTCAAACTTATATTTAGTTAGAAAGTAAATAGCAAGCAGTTATTTAGCAGTTGCTTTTATCCAAAGCATTACTGCATTATACTGGAAACCTTCTCCTCAGCACTGTTGTCTTTATTTTGAAGTAATGCTATTTTCTATCGCCTAAGCCTCCTGGAAGCCCAACAGAAACCAGAAAGCATTTTTAGATTTCCATTAAGATATTATTTAATCTATTTATTAAATTGATTTATATTCCTTTTCCTGGGGGCAGTTGGCTTGTCCCGATAAAGTAGGTAATTTGGGGGGTTTTTTGGGACCAAATGATCATTAAAATGTATTTTCATTGCTAAAAAGTCGTTTTGCATTTACAGTAATTGAATATGCATGTAATTGTATCCCACATATACATTGTAGGTGAGTTTTATCTGATGAATATTTATGGAGTTTCCTGTGGTGATTTGTTTTTATTATCAATGACATCTAGTGCTCTTTGAGAGCTGTATGAAGCTGTTTAAGATTCTCCTCAGCTCTCTTTTTAGCCTCAGCTCTTTTTGCAGAGTTGCCATCCCATCTGGAGCTGGGCCAGTGCTACGGTTTTAGGTGAAATGCTCTGACCAACGATGTTCTGTCAGTTTACAACAACCGCACTGCTATAGCCTGCAAGGGTTTTGTTGCATGTCCTACCTTTTAATTCGCTGGCCACTGACCAGAACTGAGCGCTGTAGGGTTTTTGTTTTCATCCGAGACGCTGTGATTGGTTAACCACAGCACTGGCTGTAGATTGCAGTGATGAAATGCAAAAAGTTTCAGCCAGAGTTGAATGGGGTTGATTTTTAAATAGGCTTGTTTGATCAGTAAAACAGTTCTGCTTAAATATTGTGCAGCTTTGAGTCCAGCTGAATGTTATATTCCGTTTGACAGGGATTGTGTTATTTGTTTGATTTCTGTGATTCTCTGATTGGTTGGCAGGTGCTGTTCTGCACCGCTCTTGGCCGGAGTTGAGATTCCTCAGCTGTTTTTACTTTTTCCTCAGACTGGGGAAAATACGTGGTGCAAACCACAGCTAAGAGAAAGAGAAAGAGGAAGAGCCGACAAAGAATAACACAGAAGGAAGATGTAGAGGAGAGAGATGAATTGATAAAATTGTAGGGGAGCCGCTAATAAAATGGAAGAACACACTCCACATCAGCAAACACGACGCCCATTCTGGAAATGTCATTATGTTCGCCCTCCTCCCTCATTCTCTCTCATTTATCGTGTTATTACAGTTAATCAACCCCTTTCACTGCACTGTCCATGTGATGCCCCACTTACTGTGGCCTGAATTTTCTCGACTTGATGGTGCTCATCTAGTCGCAGATGTTTTTTTTGTTGTTGTTTTTTTTCGGGGGAATAATATTTGAATTGGGTTCTGGTTTTCTACACCACATGTTGTCTTTGGATGTTTATATTCGAAACAAACCTTACCCAATACTGCTAACTTGTCAAGTCCATAGCAAACAAACTCAGTGACCCTGCTGGAAAAGAAATGAGGCCAGTCCCTCAGAGGAGAGAGGGACGTCTTTCCTGTGTCGTACAGTAAATACCTCACTCTTGACCTCTTAAACAGCCTACAAACCTTTAGTGCCAAGTGCTATTCTTTCATTTTCTTTTCCCTCTATATTTTACAATTAACCTTTTAGTTTCATCCATGTTCTATCTGTCTGTGTCTCAGCCAGGGAATTACCAGCGGACAGTGAAGAGGACCGAAGATGCCTTCCAGGCATGTAATGATATAGTGGCATGTTTCCAAGAGAGGGCCAGGGTCGAGAGACAGTACGCGCAGCAACTTAGCGAATGGAGTACCAAGTGGAAACCCCTAGTGGATGCTAGTGAGTACTGCATTTTTGATCAAGATGTTCTGAACAGAAAACAAATTGCTTCCTGCATATTGTGCAGTATGTACTGTATATTAATATAATCAATAAAATGCAAAGAAAAAAAAAACAGATGACTGTACTTTTAAACAACACAATTTAGTAATCCCTAATATGTGTAAAGTGACATTTTTGATTGGCATTCAAGAGGACCTGGGTTGAAATCCTATCTGATATATGGACCAATATTTTTTATATATATATTTGATTAAAGATACAGTAAAAAAAAACATTTATATTTTGAAATATCATTGCAACTTACAATTGTAAGTTACAATTACAAATGTTTTCTATTTTAATATATTTTAAAATGTAATTTATTCCATGCTGATTCTATCCTCAAGAAAAATTTCTAAAAATATTTTTTTTCAGGATTGAAAATGAATAGTATGTTCTAAATAACAGCATTTGTATTAATTTATTATATAAATATACAGTACCCTCCACTAATATTGGCACCCTTGGTAAATATGAGCAAAATTGGCTGTGAAAATAAATCTGCATTGTTTATCCTTTTGATCGGTCATTAAAAAATTCACAAAATTCTGACCTATCATTGAAGTAAAACAATGGAAAGTGGGGGGAAATCGCAATATACAAAATAAATGTATATGGCTTGTTATATAAAAAATAGCATTCATAATACACTGAACAAAATTATAAGCAAAAACAAAAGTGTTGCATTTATAATTTTGTTCAGTGTAGTAAATAATTGTAAATTATTTATGTCACGTTTACTTATGTTGTTTTCTTATAACATTACAACAGTTCTAATTAAATGCTAATTTAACATGACTGTTATTTAATTCAAAAAGTTAAGGAACAATCAATGATTAACTTCCTGATTATTTTATTATGATTAAAAAATAATATTAATTAAAATAAAATAATTTAAAATTATTAGTTTGAATTTTCAATCAAATGTTAAATGTTTAGAACACAATACTAGCATATTTCGTATTGCATACTGTGCAGTATATACTGTATATTGCATGTTATTAAAAAAGTATGCATAATAGTAAATGATGTTTTATGTTATGTTTACTTTACAACATTACAGTAATGCTAGTATGCTAAATGATTGTGACATGACCTCACTATTTTAATTCATTATGTTTAGAGTTGCATTTTCGTTTGCATTTTGATATTTTTGACAAACAATACAAGCATATTGCTTACTGTATACTTCATGGTATTTAAAAATAGTATGGCGTAAATAACAATAAATGTTTTATTGAGCTTATGCTTACCTCAGTGTTTACCTTATGTTTATTTAATTAATGTTAGAACTATGCTAAACACATGCTATAATGTTGTCATTTGACTTCACTATGTTGTTTAATTCAAATTCATCTCGGGAATAAAAATGATTATTATTAATTTTATTTGATCAAATTTAGTCTGAGAATAAGTTCAGTTTTGACAGAATGATCAAATAATAAATAAATAATGAGAAGGAGAAAGTAGTAATCACAGGTGAAATGTTATATGCCACACTGGAAATGAAACAACAAATTTGCACTGGATACAATATTTCCCACATTTTAGCAAATGTTGGTTTTAAATGCACATAAAATTTTGCATACTGTTGAGTGTGTACATACTGCATACTGAAAAAGATTAGTATGAGTAATATTTTGAAGATAACGTAAAAGACTAAGTCTTTTGTCGAGAGCAGCACAGATGTCATATAGTTAAAGAGCTGTGACTTGCGTTTTATGTGAGATGCCCACATCTTTAGTTTAGTATCTGATGAAGAAGTTTCTTTTTGTGACCTTAAATGGTCCTCACATTTATTTCATGAATATGTTTGTCTTCATCTTTGTCCAGGTCCTCTCTACGGCTCTCTGTTACAAGCATGGCAGTGCTTCCTCTCTTCTGCTGACCGCTTCTCCTCACTGCACTCCTCCATCTGCCGTGCTCTGGTGTCAGAGGACGGAGACCGCATCCGCACGTGGCAGAAGGAGACTTTCCATAAGAAGATATTTGGAGGTTTCAAAGAGTCCCAGGATTTTGAAACTGGTTTCTCACGTGCTCAGAAGCCCTGGGCCAAGAGACTGAAGAAGGTAATGCAAGCATTGTAGTTCTGGGGTTAAAATTTCTCTCATTTTATTTGTTCTGTACACAGTATTGTAGGGACAAAAAATGTCTCCAGATAAATGTTTACATATGGTAATTGTTGAATAATGAACTGTTGAATTTTTGAAAATGAATGTATAGAGTGTGCAATACTAACACCTGTCCTACATGAATCTGACCTGGATGTGTTTTTTTTTTTTTTGTGGCAGCTAGAGAAGGCCAAGTCAGCATTTCACAAAGCTTGCCGTAAGGAACACATGGCTCGTGAGCGGGAGGCCCATGCTCAAGGCAACCCTGACATTGCCATTGAGAAACAGAGGAAGATCCAGGAAGAGACCGAACTTGCTCACCAGGAGACAGAGAAAGTGAGTGTTGTGTGGAGGAGACTATCCAAAAGAAAATAGCAGAGTTTCAAATTGTCTTTTATCATCCGAGTCAGGAAAAGGAAGCAGAAAAACATTTAGCTAAAACTTACATTTAGTGGCGGCTCGTGGGTTTTAAAATAGAGGAGGCACACTAATGGTATTGGTCTGGGGATCCCTGCCGATTATTATTATTATTTGCTTAACCACTTTAAAATGGCTTTTTGGTTGCTTTTAATCAGAAAATGACACACATACAGCAAGATAATATAATTTCACTTACCTGGCCTATCACTTGAAGCAAACATCCATCCCTTCTTAAAAGTCTGTGTTAAAAGAGAGCTGCCTGTTGCGCCATTTAATTAAGCAGACTGCTGTAGCCTATATCCAGTTTAGGCTGTTTTCCATAAATTTGTATATATACTGTTTGAATGACAGCTTGGTAAATCTGTTGGCGATCAAATATTCAATATAGCTACTCATCATAAGTACTTGGTACATTATCAGCACAGCGGGAGACGTTCAAACTAATATCACGTAATTTATGTCTCTATGATGATTGGTTGATATACCAGAAGGGAGGCTAGCCTCCTCTGCAAGGTTTCTTTTCTCAACACTCCTCAGCGCTGAAAGTGAATACTTGATGGTGATTGGTTAATTTTTTTTTACCAACAGAGGCACGAGAGCTCAGCTCTCCCCCGACTTCCCCCTACCCTTCTCTATCATTAGCGGTTGTAATTACATCAGCAGATTCAGCAGATTCAGCACATCCGCAATAGAAAAGCAGCGCTTTCCAACTTCCGTAGCATGTTATGGTATTACAGCTGTGAAATTACAAACAAAAAATACACATTCTGAGACATGAATTGAAATGAATTGTGAATTTTATTAACATTAACTAGTCATCCTCCCATTTTCACCTCAAACTTTTGGGGAAGCTGTGCCTCCCCTGCCTCCCCCGACGAGCCGCCACTGTTTACATTTACAGGCTGCTTAATGATGCAGTGAAATCATGCAATATATTGCACACTTAATGATCAAGAATTAATCTACAGCACTCAACAGAAAAGAGAGGATGTGGAGAATCAACTCAGGTGCAAAGATAGGTGCTTTTCTATAGGATTCAGGTCAGGGAACTGGGACGGCTATGGCAGATGCCTCATTTTGTGCTCAGTGACACATTTTTGTGTTAATTTTGATGTTTGTTTTGGATCATTGTCCTGATGGAAGATCCAACCACGGCCCATTGTAAGATTTCTAACAGAGGCAGTTTAGATTTTTTATCTGTTGGTATTAGAATTCATGATGCCATGTCCAGGACCAGTCAGGTTTAGATTTTTTATCTGTTGGTATTTGATAGAATCCATGATGCCATGTATCTGAACAAGATGTCCAGGATCTCCGGCAGAATAAACGGCCCACAACATTAAAGATCCAGTAGTATATTTGACTGTGGGCATGGGGTACGTTTTATCCCTGTTTGCACCAAACCCATCTGGTGGGTTTGCTGCCAAAAAGCTCTTTTTTAATTTCATTTGACCATAGAAGCCAGTCCCATTTGAAGTTCCAGTCGTGTCTGTCAACTGAATATGCTGGAGTTTGTTTTTGGATGAGTGAGGAGGATTTTTCTTGAAACCTTCTCAAACAACATGTGGTGATGTAGGGGCTGTTTGATATATTTTTTTAGGCTTTCTGACCTCAAGACTCAACTAATCTCTGCCATTGTCCAACTGTGATCCTCGGAGAGTCTTTGGCCGCTCAAACTCTCCTCCTCACCATGCATTAGGACAATATAGACACACATCCTCTTCCAGGCAGATTTGTAACATCTTTAGTTGATTGGAACTTCTGTGGGAGTCAGAGTCAGACTTGTAACCCAAAGGTCGTGGGTTCGAGTCTCGGTACCGGCAGGAATTGTCGGTGGGGGGAGTGAATGACCAGCACTCTCTTCCACCTTCAATACCACAACTGAGGTGAGACCCTTGAGCAAAGCACCGAACCCCCAAATGCTCCCCGGTGCCGCAGCAAAAATGGCTGCCCACTGCTCCGGGTGTGTGGTTTGTTCACTACTCAATGCTGTGTGTGTGCACTTGGATGGGTTAAATGCAGAGCACAAATTTCGAGTATGGTACACCATACTTTCACTTTTTAATTATTGCCTTAATGGTGGAAATGGGGATTTTCAATGCTTTAGCTATTTTCTTACAGCCACTTTCTATTTTGTGAAGCTCAACAATCTTGTTCTGCACATCAACTATATTCTTTGATTTTACTCCTTGTGATGGATGATTAAGGGAATTTGGCCTTTGTGTTCCTCATATTTATAATCCTGTGGAACAGGAAGTCATGGCTGGACAATTTCATGCTCCTAGTCATCCTGGTGTGCTAAAAAAATGTAAATATGAATGGGAATTATTAATAATTATTATTAATAATTCAGCGATATTTTACTCATAAGAATTTATAGGAGTGCCAATAATTGTGGCCAACATGCATTGCAGAAAAGCATTTATTTCATAATGAGTTTCCCCCACTTTCAATTGTTTCACTTCAATGAAAAGTTAGAATTTTGTGAATTTTTTTAATGAAAGATCAAAAAGATAAATGATGAATATTTATTTTCACAGCCACCTTTGCTCATATTTACCAAGGGTGCCAATATTAGTGGAGGGCACTGTATATATTTTATAGTTATTTATAAAAAGTTAACCATGCATTTTTATTGTTTGGAAAAAACTGCTTGGACAATTTCAAAATTGGGTAACACTTTACAATAAGGTTCATTAGTTAACAATTACTTAATGTTAATTTCAACATTTACTAATGCATTATTAAAATCAAAAGTTGTGCTTGTTAACATTAGTTAATGCACTGTGAATTAACACGAACTAACAATAAACGACATTTATTAACTGACATTAACAAAGATTAATGAATACTGTAATAAATGAATTGTTCATTGCTTGTTCATGTTAGTTAACACATTAACTAACATGAACTAATGGAACCTTATTGTAAAGTGTTACCCAAAATTGTTTTGAAGTTGCATTCAACATCCAGTGCAGTCTGAAGTGGCACATAAACACAACACATCTGACTAACTGGCTGCAAATTCCTGTTTGCAGGTGCGAGCCCGCTATGAGAAGGTTCTTGAGGAAGTGACACGTTATGCTCCACGCTACATGGAGGAAATGGAGTCTATCTTTGACCAATCACAAGAAGAGGAGAGGAAGAGGATAAGCTTCCTCAAACAGGCTTTCCTGTCCATCCACAGACACTTGGATGTCACCAACAACGAGAGGTGCGTGAGAAGGGTTATACCGGTGAAATCTCAGTTTCTGTCCATTTCATTATTACTCGCAATGAGTAAATGATACAAGTTCTTTCTCTCGCTCTCTCTCTCTCTCTCTCTCTCTCTCTCTCTCTCTCTCTCTCTCTCT